ATTATTTTTATTCTTTGTAAATGATATATTAACCTGTTTCGACGATAATAGTGGCTACATTTTTGCTCTCGATTAATTAAAGTTGTTCATACTTCTTTTTGCCGATGATGCCGTACTTTTTGCACATTCGCCGGAAGCGCTACTTTGATGGTTTGTTTCATTTTACGCCTTTTCCAACAGTATTTCAGTCATATTGGTGGGCAGTTTCCTAACCATTGTTCCTGGAGAGTTACACCAGTACTAGACTACTTCCCCCCTTGCTAAACTACCAAAGCATCTCCCGGGGATCGAACCCACGCCAGAGAGATAATTGAATTAGAAGTCAACGACTCTAACCCCTCAAACTCGTCACTTCTTAATGCTCTTCAAAATTATTGCAATTTTGGGCACTAACAAAACAAAATCATGATTTTTCGAACAAAGTCGTTATACTACTTACACATTTCTTTTTAATAGTATCCCACTTGAAGTAGTGACATCATTCAAATATCTAGGAATTACTTTATTCAAAACGGTCACATGCATCGTTCACCGCAAAAAAAGCTTACTCAACATTCGTTATTTGCTTTACATAATTTATTCATTGCTTTTAAACAAATATACCTATCTACACAAGAAAATTGTTATAATAGGCAATTACGAGGGTAAAGCTATTGAGCGTATACATTAGAAATCTTTAAGAAAGACACTAAGCCTTAAAAAGTCAACGAATCTAGCTGGTCTTTTCGGAGAACTGGGACGGTATCCGATAATTATACAACGCGAACTTATTATGATTAGACATTGCTTAAAAATTTTGAGCTCAGAAAATAATTTATTGATAAGAAACATGTACATGTATAATGTTATGAAAGAAGATGTCAATAATAGCATATCGTATAACAGAAATAACTAAACATATCAAATAAAAACAATACTCGGTGAAATAGGGTTTTCTTTTCAATGGCTATAGCAAAACGAAATTAATATATCACTTCAAATAATAAAGAATAAGTAAATAAAGAATAGAAATAAATAACTCAAGTAGATAACAAACATATAGTATGTATAAGTACGACCTTGAAATTGAAAAATACTCTTAATATAAATAAATACGGAGTACAACTGACGCAATTTCGGTTATCATCACATACTCTAGAAATTGAAAGTTGGCCTACACGACTTCAAAACATGGAAACTTTAATGTCATCTAAAAATGACAAAGAACTTAATAATTTGTCAAGGTATTAATATTTTTCACTTACAGTAAGAAACTCTGATTAACAACTTATATATTGTTAGATGTACATTAAGACATATCGTAAATAACATATCTGAAAACATATTGTATGAATGTATGTGTAAATATATGTATAGACAACAATAACAATTTATTTCAACATTAAGTATATATCTCATATTGTTAATTGCTAAATCTCACGAAGATATATTGTAAATAACTTCTCTGAAAACATTTTGTACTGAATTATGAACAATTTATTGTAAACAAGTCTTACACTTTACCTATATTATGTAATGGTTGCTATATGCTATATGTAGTTAAATGCCTAATAAAATATTGAATTGAATTAAATGCAAAGCAGTAGGTGTCATCTTTATAATATTCAAATGAAGTCTTTTTCAGATTATGTCTAAAGGGTCACTTGTGCAATAAGCGTCTAGTGTACCTGCATACTAGAATAAATTAAGAGCAACAATGGCCCTATATAAGGCCTAAAATGAGATGGGTCAGATAATATTCATAGCAAGTATATTATCAACATAGATTGATAACCTGTTATCTATTACATGAATTAATTAAAAGTAAGAACTGAAATGAAATAGCACATGCCAAACTAGGTATTCTAGGTATTTTATTTCAGGAGTAGAGGATTTATATGTCTTTTTATAAATGGAGTTCATGTAGTTTATGTAGTTATCTCAAGGTGGAGGGCGACTATTTCAATCCAAGGTGCATGATTCATAAATTTGTAGCATTCTTCAAGGTAATGCTTCATGTAAAATATCTAAGCCCTGGACATTTTAATTTCTTACAAGGATAAATATCTATGTTTTCCTTTTTAAGTCTTTAAACTTAGTGATCCCACTGCTAATTTCCTTGAGCAAGAAATTTACCTGCGATTGCTTCACTTTACCCAGGTGTAAATGGGTACCTGCGAGGGTGGTATAATTCCGTTGCGCCAAAGTGTCGGCTGCACTAAGCGGAGTTATAAGACTCCCCAGGGAGATTGATAGATAGATACCAGTAGCCCGATGACCAGGGGTAATAGCTGTAAAGTCGGTGAACGTGCGTAAGCATGAAACTTAGACTATAAAATGCAATTACATTACAATTACTTTACATCCCCTTGCAACCCCAATTAATAATCCTAATGACATGATTAATGATCAAAATAATTTTTAAAGCTAAATATGCACGCTCTAGAAATTGAAGAATATATTTTTTAAATATGTTTACTTTATAATTGTATTTAAACTAAATGATCCCGAACCCGGAGTCAAAATTAATTTACATTACTTTCACAGACGACGTCAAGATTATGCTTCATGTTAATTATCTCAGTTCTTTTTGTGGTAGTTTCTGGAGGTAATTGACACATGTTTACTAATAGTTTATGTAAACTCAGTAACTTTCAGGGGATGCAATTTTTATCGAAAGGGCAATTGATATATATAACTATTGAAGAGGTCCACAAGAAAATGCTAAATGTCAAAATTCTAGCTCTGGGAATTGCAGAAGACCACATATTAATCTGACTTGCATCTTGGTACAAATCTGTGTGTAATAAGTGACCCCAGGGACATGGCCATTTAACAGCAGGCGCATGATTTATGTCACTGTTTTAGGTTTGTCATGACGAATATCTAACATAAAAATATCAAACTGATCTTAAATTTTCTTCTTTTTTTAAAGCTGTTTGGAAGAATACCTACGCAATAGACAGGAATTATACTGTATGAATTGATGGAGGTAGAACTTAATAATAAAAAGTTAAGCTTTATCTACAAAGCCTCAAGTATAGCAGTGTCGAAGGCTTTCCATTAATCTTTTAAGGTATAATAGTGTTTGGCCTTAATAACAACATTTTTCGAAAGAAAACTGACAGTAAGAAAATTTCCTATTTACAAAACTTATTAATACAATTGAGCAACACAAGCAACAACATTTATATGAGTTATCCCTCTGTAATTAGACAAGTCAGAAAAGCCCCCCCCCCTCTATGAAATAAATAATTGCTCCCTCCATGCGGAATGTTCACCTTTATCAAAAATAATATTTTAAAATCAACAAGATATGGTCACATAAATATACTTCCAAGATTTTCTAGTATTACTGTTGCAAAGATTTGGCAAATTTGTTTTTTTTTTCTAGCAAAATGTTTTTTTCTAGATACATTGTATTTTGTTTATGTGCATTCAAACAATAACTGCCAATTTACATCAGTAGGATTTTCACTTAATATTTGTTTGCATATCAAACACTCTGTTTTTCAAGCTTATAACAAGATTATTTAACCACTTTGTGAAGGAGAAACTACGAAAACTGTACATTATGTGAGAGATTGTTTATTCTCTCAGATAAGTGACAGTTTGAAAAATGTTCTCTGTTGTCTTATTAATTGACAATTAAGATTAAAATTAAAATTACTTGTCTCCATTGTTAACTTACTGGACACTTGAAATAACTTGCTTTATGAGAAGTAGGGAGGAAAAAATGAACATAATTTCCATGTTTTACTGTCTTATGTTGTACATAACGTTTATACATGAGGACTATATTTCATAATCAGTGATTTCCCCCATCATAATTATGATTACATCTTTACAGTTTATAATTGTTTAAGTAATACAAATTTGCTGTTTTGCTTTGTTTTTATAAAATATTTTATATTTAATGAAATCAAAACAGGTTCACTGGCTACAGTTAATCAAGGGGAATAATACTTTTTAAAAGACGGCAATTCTACAATAGTTGCACAGGGTCATTTTTATTTTTTGTTAAAAGCGTTGTGCAAGAACAAAAGTGTTTCTGTATAACATAAACTTGTATCATTATACCTATGAGATACATAATCACTTCAATTGGAAAATTAAAAAAAAAGTTTGATAATGCTTATATCTTAATAAAAATCCTTATCATTCATCATGTCATCAATAAGCATGTGTACGTTTTTTTTTATTGAATAATGATTAATACATGCATTTGACATTATAGAGGATTACGCCTGTTTTTTTTTTCTTTTTTTTTGTGAAACTGACATTTAAAGGAGTTTATAGCATGATTTTTAGTTAGTTAGGTATCGTATTGCAACCACACACAAACTGGTGTTAAAGTTTTCTTGTTTACAAACGGCCACTCTCAGTTGACAAAATGTGTTACTATAATAAGAACTAAAAAAAAACTAAAATCCTTTATATTATGGGAACATGTCTCTGATATAAACAATATAAAACATGAATTTCTAAAATCGTCAAATTTAAGGGTTCGACTTAGTATCTATATAAGTATTAGAAGTTAATACTTTAGTAGCAGATGTGTCAATTTAATGTATCAGTATATTATTTTTATAATGTCAAGAACTAAACATTATATTCACACATCCGCGATTATAAAAAGATAACTTCCATTAGTTTGATAAATATATTGCATTGAAAAGTATCCAATATTTAAGAATTAGTTTGATAATAGCAAACATTGGATAAACCTTCATCTATCAGTACATTAAACACATTTATGCACAGTTACAACAAATGATGACGTCACAAACATGTTTTCATAACGCTTAACTTTCAGTCTATATTAACACTTCAAAGAACAAGTTTACATTGAAGCTGAAAAGAAATATCAAATATATAAAACAAAATACTGAACAGATCATATATACAGGTACATATATATCAAATTCATCAAAACAAGTTTATAGGTTAATTCATCGAATACGGCCTTTATATATATGTTTATATTGGATAACCAAAAACTATAATTAAATTTTACTTACCAAAATTAAGTTTGCCATTCCTTCCTTTATATCATTTCACTCACTAAACCAGCTCCTAGCGAGGTTATAAACCTTCAAAACGGAAGTGAATAAAATATATTAACTTACTAGCGCGTATAGTATTTGTCAAACTGCATTTAAAAATATGTTCTCGTTATATTAATAAATTTTTTAGTAAAACTTGATCATAAAATTAAAATGGATCCATAGAGCAAAACCAAAACAAAATCTGCGGTGTCGCAATATTTAATGGGTATTATCTGATACAAAATGTATAGAGTATCTTAATATCGATGAAAAGGGTCTTGTATGCTTAAAGGTTATATCATTTGTCTGCACCAAAACAAGTTTTAAATTGGATTTTGCCATTCATAAAATGTGCATAAAACTTTGCAACATATTGTACTTGGTTTTCAAAAATTAGCACATTCAAGGTAAATATTCTTATTGTCTTCGGTTTTATTTTTTATTCAAATAGTCCTTTAAACATAGACCTGGAACTGTACTTTCAAATGGTTCATCATTTTACATTGTGAGCTTTATTGTTATATGAATTGTGACCTACTTTCACTTTGGACACAATTAGTTAGCATATCTTTTTTTACAATGGAATTTAACACTCGGTGATAGAACATATTATGATCTTGTTCGCGATTCACTTGTTTAAGTACTGATCCAAATACAATAAGAAAGTAAAATAAATATAAAATGCATGACGAGCAAGCAATTATCATAGTATTGCAAGCAATCAATAAGTCCCCTACCAGTTAGAACCCCAGCAACATTCTGATGGGCCATTGTCCATTCAATTATACCATCGAATGAATAAATAACATAAATGAACTTAAATCTGTATAGTTCTTAGTTACTCTGTACCATAGTAATGTGTTACGTTTCCCTGCCTAGTTATACAACAGATAATCAAAAGGTCCAATTTTCGCACGATAAATAAGTATAACTAATATTTCTACTTTTCCCTATCTCAGGAACCACTTTTTATGAACAGAGACTGAAGGAGACTCTTAAGTTATTTTTTAAAAACATCCCTGTGACCAAAATATACCATTTTTAAAGCGAAATTCATAAAGAGGAGATTACTCTTGAAATAAAGATGCTAGATTAATGAACATTGTCATACATGATGTGAGTGTAACGAGGAACAATTATTTTAAGTTTAAAGATACCATTTATAGTCACAAAAAGAAGAGTAAAGAAATAAAAAAAAAAATATATAACATTAACATGTATAGTAACAACGATGAAAATTAAAAAATAAATACATATAATGTAGGTGTTGATAATGAATGTTTATTTTTAACTTGAAGTAAATCATGAAAAAATAAAAAGTTTAAAAATGAAAAAGAAAAATTCAAAGTTTAAGGAGGAAATTATTATGGAATTATGGATTCTATATTTATAAACCTTGTTATATTATTATGACGTTGGAGTTTGCAGTAAATCCTATAAGAAATAAAGAAGTTGGAGTAAAAAATACCAAATTCAAGGGGGATATAATTCTAGAAATAATCTTGCTAGAGTACTGAACATTCTCACAAATGTTGAGTGATAAAAACAAAGATGTATATCAAGTTTGAAGTAGATACATTTGAAATAAATTATTACAAAAACATTTTCTCCATAAAAATTCTAAGTTTAAGGGAGGTAATTCTGATAAATTTTGTGCTAAAATTGTAAACCTTGTCACATATGATGTGGTTGATGACGAGAAACTTAATATAATAAAGTTTGAAGTAAACACTTTAAGAAATAAAGTCGAATAAATAGTGAAAAAGCGTAAAACCTAGAATAAGAAATCTTGAAATTCAGTCTATTTGTTGCCATAGCAACCAGAATTTTCAACATAGGAAGAAAAGAAAAAAATGTGCATAATTTCCAGACTATCATCTACCCATGTTTAAAGTTTCATAAAAATATTTTCAGTACCTTTTGCGTTGTCACTGGATCCAGTTAATTTCTTAAATTTTCTATATTTTCAGTCTATTTATTGCCATAGCAACCAGAATTTTCAACAAAGTAAAAATAGAAAAAGACGTTCCTGATCTCCATACTGTCATTAATCTATATATCAAGTTTCATAAAAATATTTTCAATATTTTTTGCGTTCTCGCGGGATCAAGTTTTGTGGACGAACTGACTGACGGACTGTCAGACAGACATATAGTCGGATAGACAGATAGACATACGGACACAGGGACGGAGGGTAAACCTAAAGTCCCCTCTGGTTAAACCGGTAGGGAACTAAAAAAACCAGAGAGAAATAAAATATATATTTACCAGAGTTTTCATAAGCAGATCCCATTGTCTTGCTTCTACCATTGGCTCTTCAATGCAAACGAATAATATTTTGGACTCATTTCATAAAGATCATTATAATGGTTAAGTTGATGAAAACATGTAACAGGGTCTTATTTTCAAGTTAAGGTGTAAGGGAAAAAACTCTTGGTTATTGTTGAATTTCATAATTTTGAAAAAGGAGACAAATCCACCGGTCTTGTCTGATCCTTTTCAAGTGAGAATACTCTATTGATTTTAACTGATATTATCTTATGTTTACATTGATCTGTTGTCAATGTTCTAAGGAATCAAATGATTGGTTCACGGATGGTTGATCTTAAGCTAATTTTAGGTCATGTGATTTCTTGGTGGGAAAAGCCATTGTGTCTTTGTTGTTAAGAAGAAAAGATGTTAGAAAATAAGTGTTTTGTGTTCAAGTTATTTATTTCTTATGTTGTTAACAGTCACAGAAGTTAGTTATTAGATTGATGTTAATTACGAGACATATGTGGGTATATTATACAAACCTGTCTTCTCCTATACAGTAATGTTATTGTCAGTTACTATGAACAACACTTTTTTTGTTTTTGTACATTTTTTCATATATTGTACTGACGGAAGGCTTTTGAATAAAAGCTTTTCAATCTAGACGTTTAATTTAAGTTCTATTTTTGACTATAATTCATTTTAATATATAAACAATCGTTAATTTTTCCGATATTACCTGAGAATCAACGTAACAACAAATATAATGTTAACAAGTACTGACACACAAAGAATTGTTCCAAGTAATATAACAGCTGACTGCTCTGAGGAATAGCTTGAGTCTGAAATCATATTTCGTAAATAAACATCCATAAATAACACATTAATCTTAGCGTAGATATAAAAGCGTGCTACAAGGGTAGAATAAAAGACATACTTAAAAGTTTTTACATGGTATATATCTATACATTTATTATGGTATATAATGTTTTCAAACATTGCTGACTTATAATCTACAAATTAACACGTTTTACTTGTTGCCACAGTAACTATAATTATTCTCATCTTTAAAAATCAGCAGCATGGCCAGCCTTCTTAACCATCAATATTACAATTTTACAGAGGCAACGTTATATGACATTAACGTAATACATAGCTTAAAAATTATGTAAAAGGGGTGAGTCCTCGAACGCACTGAAAACAATAAGATTACACTTGCCAGACATGCATTGATTGCACGTTCCTCCTACAAAGTTATCAAGACATACGTTTGAGCATTCACCATTACTTTTCTCACATTGCCGATTTTTACAGCCTACAGAACAAGATATGTTACAGTACTGTCCATACCAGCCTGTTAAACAAACGTCACATTTATCACCAGTGATCGTGTCTATAGTACATCCGTCTATGCAACCACCGGAATTTCTTTCACACACGTTACTTTTACACCCTGCAGGGCATTGTTGATAGCACATATTTCCATATTTTCGGGTTTTACATTTGTCACATCTTACTCCAACAAAATCAGGAAAACATGCACAGTTTCCAGTTACCATATCGCAAGTGTTTGATATACAACCTGTCGGACAACTTTTCTCACATTTTGGTCCATAAAACCCAGTTTTACAAGCCGAGCAACTGTCATAGGACGCACATCGTACACAGTTATCCCGGCAGTCATTCAACGAAGGAAAATTAATGTTGTCGTTCTGGTAACCTTTATAATAACCATCCTTACACGATCCACAATTAGTATTCGACGAACACATGACACAGTTACCTGGGCATAAACTATTACATTTATTTCCGGTATCGTAATATCCGTCCTTGCAAGACGCACACTGATTATTTTCACAATTACAATTTTCAGGACAGTTACAATCAGTTTGACCATCATCGTTATAATATCCCTTCTTGCATGATGAACACGTTGTTCCTGACGTGCATGTTTACATCCGGGTAAACACTTTGATGTGCAGTCTCTAGCAGAGCCGGGATAAAAGCCATCATAGCACGCTTTACAAAAATGTGCATGATAAGGGCATTGTGTACAGTTGTGTGTAGATGACCTCTATAACCATCAATACAGCCTAGAGTACATTCGTTGGAAACCTTTTGCCTGGTTCACATTTTCTATCTATACAACATGCACAATTTACTTTACATTGTTCATCATCCTCTGTAATAAATACAGTCAAACTTCCTTAAAATATTGTCATATAAATGTAGAAATGTAAAATGAAATGCTATGAAATTATCATTCATTTTTTTATTAATTGAATTGCTGAACAGATAATATTGTATTCATACAATGTTTAGATGCATTATCAATAACCCAAAAATATCGATTAAGTTTTGTTTATATATACAATGTATACCAAAACCTTAAGTCAAATGATTTCAAACAAAACACTTACATCCTGTTGTGCTGTGAACCAGTTGAAACATACGTATTGTATATATCATCTGTAAAAATCCTTATTTCATTTTTCTTTTTTACTTTTATAACAGAAGCGTTATGTTATATTGTAACGTCTTTAGTGAGAAGTATATTAAACACTTATTACGACGCTCTCTTTACACGTATTTTTACAGAACAAGAACATTTGTTTAATTTTCATACTGGACAAGTATAATATTTCTACAGAACAGGTTTAATTTTTTTCTGGGGCAGATATAGTTATTCTGTATAGTAACTTAAATATTTCATCAGAAATTATTCCTTTTTGTAGAAATTATATAATTTCTACAGAACAAGTAATATATTTCTTCAGAAATTATGTAATTTTAAAAGAGGTCCGCAAAGCAATGCTACGTGTCTTAATTCTAGCTCTTGGAATTAAAGTTACAGAAAAGAAGACTACATATTGATCTCATATGCATCTTATGTAATAAATGACCAAAGGGACGTGGAGGGACATGATTTATGTCAAT